AAAATGCATATCTGGAGGTTACTTATCTTTAAGAATAAAAAATCTTGAAACTGATCTTTTAGTATTTATTCAATTGTTTTTTAATTGGAGAATGATTTAGACGACACAAATTAATGCTTACGTTTATATTTATTTCTACTTACAATCAATAAAAGTTTATTAAAGATTCACATATATACTATAAGATATTTAATTTTAAAGTAAAACTGTTAAAGAAGGTATGTCGGTAGTTGTACGTAACAGTGGCTCAAAGCAGGCTTTGTGGATAGTCTTTAAGCTTCAAGAAACATTGTATCTACTCTCCCAAAACTGCTTAAAAATCATAATGAACAGATTCAGTTCAGACCAAAAACTTGATTCTCTTCTATTTTCAGATGTTGATCTTGAAGTAAATGTGCAATTTTACAAATGTCACAAACACAGAATGATTGGTTTCTGGTAAGTATACTTACTTTGAATTTTGAGAATTCATACGGTTTACTCTGAATAATGTTTTTATTTCCTTTTTCAAGTCTTTCTAATGCTTTTCTAAATTTAGTAAAAATGCCATTAGGAAAGTTTTCATTGTTCAAATCAAATGTTTTAAAAAGAACTTATGTTTTCTGTTTAATGTCACACTTCCTTCTATGACTTGTGTCATTCCTGATCCTTTTAAAAAACAAAATAGGCAGACTAAAGCTCTATTATCTTTTTGAGAGTTTTTAATGTTTGGCATTTAAAACGATATGAGCAATACTAAAATTTTTTTATTAACTATTGCAGCAGATAAAAAAAGTTCATAAAATCTTTTATTATCTGCTTTTTTACAAAAAAATTTATTATTAAATTTTTTTTGCGGTATAGGGGAGACCGGGGCTAGTTGGCTCGGTTTTTACTCTATGAGCTTTGTAGCCCTAATAGCACACTTTTTTGAAAATATTAAAGTGTAGTCTCAAAGCGTATGAACTTGGGTAACTTATAAAAGTTTCATGGATTTACAAAAAAAAATTCTTGGGGCCTTACGGGGCCCTCAAAAAAAAAAAAAAAATTGCGCCAACTTACCCCACCACGGGGTAAGTTGACGCAAACTATAAACGTGGTTATTAATGTACTATTAAGTGCAAAATTAATAGAAATTTTTTACCTATTAATTTTGGCAACAATTTAAGCTAATAATTTGATATTATTTTTAGCTTGTGCTAAATATTAGTACGTATAACAGCCAAAACAGCAGCCCTCTTTTTACCTGTTACAAAAAACCTAAAAAAAAAATTTTTATAATTTTTTTGTAAGAATAAGTTTTTTCAATATTGTTAAAAATTAAAAAAATTAAAAAAATTATTTTTATAAAAATAAATATTTTTCTCCATAGTAAATGCTATGAGCCAACTTACCCCGTAAAAATTTTGTCAACTTACCCCGAAGGCTTTTTTTTCAATAAACAGTCTATAGATCCTGAAAAACGGCAACTTTTAAAAAAAGTCAAACTGAATATAGTAAACCAATTGTGGCTAGAACTTTTACAATAATTTTTTTTCCATTTGACTAACTATTTTCTTTGTAAAGTAAAAAGGAAGCGATGTTTCAAAAGTTACGTTTTTGTCCAAAAAACACTTAAATCTTAATATCTCCCATGCGCATGCGCGAATCCTGACAATACTACATTGAATGATGAAACAGTCAATTAGGAAGATTCTGTGTAATTTTTATCACTTTCTGATGAAAGGCTTTAAAGATAAACGCAATTCGTCAACTTACCCCTGCGGCCAACTAGCCCCGGTCTCCCCTACCACAAGGAAGTATATAAAACAAAGGAATGTAACATGTAATAAAAACGCTTTTTTACCGTAATTAACGTATTGTTTAAAATTTTCCATAAAATTAGAGCCCTAAAGTCCAAATATGTTTTAGGGAAAGGGGCAATGATAGCACTTAAAAAAAAAACTCTACCGTTATGAACTCGACTAAAATTCATCTGTAAAATTTGCATTTAGTAAAAAACTATTTTAACGTTCAAAAGTTTTGACCTCGTAAAGTTAATAACCTCATCAAATAAAGGGGGTTTCAAACTTTCCGTGGACGCTATTTATGAACCATAAGAAACTTTATAAAGATAAATTATTTTTCCCGATGAATTTTGATCTTTTTTAAGATACTGCAAAAAAAAAAAAAAAAAAATTTTTCTTGTTTCCACATTTGGGATAGTGGGTCCTGATTTTTCAGGTGAATATTGTTCCCAGGCTCTTATCATTGTAATTTTTTGTAAAACATTCTTATTTGATACTAGTATCAATACTACAAAATTTGAAGTTTGCACCATCTCTGGAAGTTACCTATTTTGAACATCAAAAAATTATGACCTGCCCGTTTAACCCCTTTTTTTTTGAAAGATGTCGACAAAATATTTTTAAAATCTAGGTCATAACAAAACAAGGTACGGTGGTTTTGAAAATGTAATCCGTCTCTGGTGTACTTATTTTTTCGTAAGAAATATTTCCACTAGGGTCTAGCAGATAAAAAACAAAGAAACAATAAAGTTTAATGCATGTTTTAATAAAAACCTGTTTTATTGAAAAATAAATAAGGTTTCCTTTAAAACTTTTTGTTGATTACGTTTTCTAATTTTATTTTTAGATACATTATTGTATATTTGCACAGGTAGTGCTCTTATAACATGTAGTTTTTTTAAAAGTATTTTATATGCAATCTATACACATAAAAAAAGGACATGATTATGAGTATGTATTCATATTAGTATTTTGTTGTTTAAAAACACTCTAAAAAACAATACGCGACAAAATCTGTTTATCTTAAAAAAAATTTATTATTTTGAGAAGATTCGTAAATGTTTTGTCGTTTTGAAGAGATTTTTGCAACTGAAATTTACAATTTTACATCGTAAGTAAGAAACGTATAAGCTTGAAATATTGGTATTAGTATTGGCAAGCTGAAAAGACAGCCTAACACGGAAAACATCTACTTTTTGCTGCTCAACAAAAGTAGTATGCTTAAGAGTAATATATGACAACTTAAGCATTTTTGAGCTTTTTTAACAATTGCATGAACCTGAAGTTGATAAACTTGGATATAAAATTTTGCTTATTGATAAACCCCCATGAACCATTTGACGAAAAACGGTTTATATTTTGCGCTTATGGGTCTTTATTATTTTGTACTTTTTGTTCAAATATTAAACGAGTACCAAAATACTACAATTATCAAACGGTTATTTTAAAAAAAAAACAATTTTTCTCTACTAGCTATAAAGCTGTAAAATTTAGCCATTGACTAGTAACAGATTTATTGTTATAATATTGCTGGCTACAATGCTACGGTATGTAGCTAGTCGCTAACTCATTTGCCACAGGGAAAGAATTAAAAGTTTGTTTACTGCAATAATAATGAAATTTTATAAAATAGACTAGAAACTGAATTAGAACTAGATTAAAAAATTAATATACATTCTAAAGAATTGTAATTGTTACAAGCTAAAGAATTGTAATTGTTTTTTGAGTAATGCAGCAAACGGCTAGCACTTTTAATATGACATGCAATAAAATACTTTATTACTATTTCTATTTTTTTATATTTTTATTTTTTAAACCTCAATATCTATGCATCCAACCATCCATTCATTCATCCATCCATATTTCCATACATACATAAATACATACATTCATACATACATACATACATACATACATACATACATACATACATACATACATACATACATACATACATACATACATACATACATACATACATACATACATACATACATACATACATACATACATACATACATACATACATACATACATACATACATACATACATACATACATACATACATACATACATACATACATACATACATACATACATACATACATACATACATGCATACATACATACATACATACATACATACATACATACATACATACATACATACATACATACATACATACATACATACATACATACATACATACATACATACATACATACATACATACATACATACCAACATACATACATACATACATACATACATACATACATACATACATACATACATACATACATACATACATACATACATACATACATACATACATACATACATACATACATACATAATAACATACATAAATACATACATACACACACAATAACATACGAAGAACAAAAAAGCTGGGGAAGGGGGTTTAAACGGAATTAAGAGAGGATGAGGAAACCAGAATCTGAATTTGAATAAAAAAACAGAAAATTTCTAAAAGTTGGAAGGAGAAGGAAAATCTATCAAAATTCGGCCCTCCTTCACCTCCTGTTCCTACGGCAGTGTAAATGCATACATACATTCAGGCCCGACGCAAATCATTCCAAAAGCTTGTTAAAAATTATTTTAGCGCCTTAAAGTACCCGCCTAGCTCCTAAAAAAAAAAAAAATAAGGTCCTCAAAACTTAAATTCACCCGACTGAGTTGTGTCGAATACCCGACTAGCCAACTAAATTTGTAAAATTGGCGCCTTCGAAGCCTTGGCACCTGGGTGAAAATCACCCATTGTACCCGCCTTTTGCAGGGCCTGCATACATACATATATACTTTACTTGTAAATAATATTAAAATGAATTAGATTTTTCGGATAAGTGAGTAATACTACTACCAACTAGTTTTGATTAATTACTTTATTAGTATTTTATTTAGTAATTTCAATTTAAAAAATTATTTTACAAAACTTAATAAAACATTACATATATAAATTTTAACTATAAGTAGATTAGTATTTACTTGTGTGAAAATTAATTAACTTATGTGAATTTTTTTTATTGAACATAAGTTAAGTTATTTGATAAATAATTAAATTTAAGTTGTTATCTAATAAATATTTAAAATTAATTTATTATTTTTTACTGTTAATAATGATCGATATTTGTATAGATTGTTGTAATGGTCAATAAAAGAATTATTATATTGGCAACATTGGTTATATATAAGTAAAAACATTTTATAATCATTGGAAATTAAATTTTTATTATTACAAGAATAAAATCATTTTGAATTAAATTTTTTTTGCTGTATTATACGATGCTGTACTTCTTTTAGTGCCGCTAAAAGAAAACTTTTTTTTCTTGTTTAGCGCTTGAATGTGAGCTGATGTCTGCAACTGAGTGACCTGTTCAGATTTTTCAGGTTCTAATAGTTCTTTCACCCAAATGTTGTTATCATACACAACCTCTCCTCCTAATTCTTTTGGTAAGTATTTTACTGGAAATTCGTTATTAAAAATTGACAAATCGCCATCGTGAACAAACAGACGTTCGGCTAATTTGGGTTTAATGAACGCAGATACATTTATCATTTTCCAAAGAAGTTTGAAGTGCCAACTTGGATTTAATAAATGAACTGCATTAAGACGAAACGGAAAGTTGTCCTAAAAAAGTGAGTTTAACAAGAACATGCAAGTCCATATGATAAAATGACGTCAATATGAAACGTCATAAAAAAGCTCTACTTTTGATATAAAAGTACATAGAGAAAAAAAGGTTATATATAAGACAACAACAAAATATCTATTGTTTTGAAACACTCCTTTTTTTGTTATACCAAGTTTCCATTACAAAAAATCAAAGTTCTGCAAATATGAACTGTAAGAAGCAACTTTTATTTAACATAAAGCATATAAGCATACTTTTTTTATAATTTTTTCCTTAGAAAATAGATTAAAAAAAACCCTTTTTTTTTATAAACTTAAATTTTAAGTAATATTTTAAAGTTACGAAGTTTTTCACAAGAAAGAAATAGTGATGTGAGTGGCAATAGTAGTGTGAGCGACAATAGTGGCTCAAGTGCCGGTAGTAGCGTAAATTTCATTGTAGTAATTAAGCATAACTAACCGTCAAAAATGTTTGTGTATTTAAACGTAACCAATGTTTTAAACGTTCTTTTAAATTCATTATAGTAAATTCTCGTTTTTTATATTTAAGTAAGTTGAAAAACTAATTTTATGTTTTTGTCTTTGTCTTTTCTCTCCTAGTCAAGTAATTGTAACTGTCCATTGAGGTTCTAGCACATGTTTTACTTATTTTTATTTTTAGTATAGACCTGGTCTTGTCTTTGTCATTAAAGTTTTTTTCTGTTCTTTTCTGATATCCAGTACTTACAACATCAAACATTACAATACAAACATAATAGAGTCTACTAATATTATGCTTACTTGAAATAGGTCAATGACTTTTTTAAGCATACTTGATCTTAAACTTTTGGTTTGTAGTACACTAAGTTGTCTCAAATCGCAAATAATTACTATTCCATTGATTTGAGTTTCGTCAACTTCAAACAACTTTGTCAATGTATAAACCCATACTCTCAAAAGTTTGTCGAAATGCCATGGAACGCTAAAATCCCATTTTCTGAGATCAAAGTTTATAAGTACTCTTCCGTGCTGATCACGTTGAGGTAAAACACAAACAATACCTTGTTCTAAGGTTTTTCGAATGTTTTTTCTAGTTAAATTTCGAAATATTTCTGGTTTTGCTTCGCGGTTGGTATAGTAACGTTCCAGTAAATGATATGCATCATTGACGTCAAACTTACGGTGTCTTAAAAATTTTAGCAAAAAAGCGTCCGAGTGCTCGTCAAAGTTATTTTCTTCCTGCTTTTCTTCGATTAGATTTCGAAGCGAACGAATGCAAGCAATTTTTGTTTGTGGAGTTTCGTATAAATCTTGGTATGCTTTGCGTTGGGTTTGAGCTGGAATGTAACCATTTCCACCCAGTATAGGCCCATTGGGTTCATAGAGATCAAGTTCAGAAATGGTTTCCATAGTAAATAGTTTCTACCAACGTAAAAGTTACTAAAAACATGCAAAGAAACAAATACAAAATTTTGTACAATAACTCTAAATATTTCAAAACAAAAGAACAACAACAACAATAAAAAAGACAAACAGAAATAAACAAAAACTAACAACACAAAAAAATTTTTTTTTTTAAAGAAATAACCTAATCTAAAACATAACCAGTTATGCAAACTTTCACCCAAACTTACACCAAAATTAATTTTAAGTTTGACGTCAAAAAAAGATTTTTAACGTTGCGTAATTTTATTTTAAAGCTAAAATTTTAAAACAACGCTTCATTTTTTATGTTTGGATTTTATATATTTTTTATTATTTTGTGCGTGTTCATGAGTCACAAAACAAAACGCAGGTGTAAATATCTGAGTTCATGAATTATTTAAAATATCTGAGTATTCTTTAAAAGTCTCAGTATCAATAAAACTGCAGACGAACAATTTTAAATAAAAAAAAAAAGAAAAGATGAGAAATAAATGCCGACATTTTTTATAATTAAAATGTTGAGACTTTCTGTCCGTACTACGAATAATAAGTAAAATAAAAGAAACACATCAGAAATGTAAAATGTTATATAATAACTAAATAAAAGTAAAGTGTTATAATGATAACTAACTTAATAAAAGCAATTACAAGTCATTTTTATAATTTTAAATAAAAAAATGTTATAAATCATTCTAAACTTATCATAGAAGATAATTTAGACTGACACACACACACACACACACACACACACACACACACACACACACATATATATATATATATATATATATATATATATATATATATATATATATATATATATATATATATATATATATATATATATATATATATATATATATATATTATATATATATATATATATATATATATATATATATATATATATATATATATATATATATATATATATATATATATATATATATATATAATTTAAATAAAAAAAAGGCAATTTAAAAATTAAAAGAGCTTCTTTTAATTTTTAAATTGTCTTCAAACTTAATAAAAAGTTTTTTTTATTTAAATATATAATTGATAAATTAAAAATGTTGCTTATTTTAAACCATAGTGCTAATTCGTCAAAGTGAACAGTAATTTGTCAAAGTGAACATTAATTCATCAAAGTGAGCAGTAATAAAAGTAAATAAGTAGAAATAAATAAACAGTAGAAGAATTTCAAAAAGAATTTTTCCCCGTGTTTCTATTGAAACCTCGTTCTAATAGTAGACCAAATAAAGAATTCAAAGATGACAAATAAAAGATTGCCGTCACGCATAACTTATCTTTTTTACATAGCTTATGACTTTTTTACATAGCTTATGACAATTTAAAAATGCGTAAAAATTACTATTTAAAAATATATTCAATGTTAAAATGTATAAATAAGTTGTAAAAGTTAATTTTATATAAATATTTTAATTTGATTTTATTGCCTAGTACTTTTCTTATTAAAATACTGTCTATATCTTAACAATGTAAAAATTACAACAAAATGGGTGAACATAGAAGGTGTGACTTAACAACTTCTAAAAAGTTACAAAAGTCTTATTGGCTGCTGCATATTTTTAGTTTCGGTTTTTTTTTTTTAATGATTGATTATTATTTTATATGAATGATAAATAAGTACAAATCGACTGCTTAGATAATTTAGACACCAATTGTCTTATAAAATGTCTATTTGCTTTCGAACATCTCAATGAAAGCACATTTTTAAACTAAGCAACCCAGCTGCCACAGAACGTTTGTTGGACGTCTTAAGGACGTCATACAGACTTATGACATCTATAAGGCATTTTATAAACGTCTTACGGACTTCTGTGCTCGCCTGGAATAGTTTATAAACTTTTACTCTTGGTTTTTAAACTATTTTTTTCAGGAAGATTTAATTCTTTTGTTCATTAAAAAAAATTTTTTTAATAAACTAATGCATGGCGAAGCTTTACAAAGAAATTTCAAAAGAAATTGATATCTACTCAAAATTGACTCGCGAGTATTTAGATGCATATTATGAGGTAAATTTTATTCGAAATTTAACTTGAATCAATTCGTGATTAACCTGCAGTTAATTGGCATCAAATCTATATTCAATCTGCAATCAATACATGATCATAATTTCTATTGTCAGTTTTTCAAAGTTAACACGTGACTTGGTATAAGAAGATTATAAAAGAAATAAAGCACGAGTATGAAACTCTAAAAAATGTTCTGCATTTTTTTTCCCATTATATAAAACGCATTTTACATGATCATAATTTCTATTGTCATAGTTTTTCAAAGTTAACACGTGACTTGGTATAAGAAGATTATAAAAGAAATAAAGCATGAGTATGAAACTATAAAAAATGTTCTGCATTTTTTTTTCCCATTATATAAAACGCATTTTCAAAGGTCATCCTCTATCATTTTTAATTATCCTTGGTACGCCTTTGTCCGCCATCAGCTTTTCGATTGTATAGTTAATATGAACAGATGAAAATTCATTTAGAATTGATTGTCGAAAATAAACATTTGTTAAAAAAATTTTTGTTACTATAAATACCTTTGATGTAGACTGGTGAAAACTTTAATAAAAAGAATAAAAATAGACAAAGGTTTCAATCAAAATATTTCTGCCATTTACGTAAAAAAATTAATTTGATATTTGTAGTGTGTTTTATTATTGTCAATGCTCAAAACAAAGATCGCATATAAAAAAATCCTAAAAGAGAAGGTTAGATATTATAAAATGTTTTAATAAAGATGTCCAGTATAAAAAACCCTTATAAAATTTTCTTAAATAAGAATTATAAATTAAAATTTAACATTCTGTTTATAAAATAAAAAAGTAAAAAAAATTACCAGTTGAAGGGCCTACCCTCCACTAAACCCTCTTAACTAAATGGCCTATCCCCACTTGATGGAAACAAGGTTGTAATTTTTATCGAACTTTATTGTTTAGATAACATTTTATCCTAACTTTAGGTAATGTGGCCTTATCAAAATTTAAATTTTAGCAATTGCTGTAACTAAATCTAATTAGTAGAGTAAAGGTGCTTATTCCAACTTAGGGAATTGCCTATAGGCAGCGTCCTAATGTGGAATGCCAGGACGGGTACTAATGAGGTGTATTTTATATTGACGAACTACAGTCAACATTTATCTTTCTGGTTAAAATAAGTTTACATATTTCCGTTTCAATATTTCTTCTGTGGAATTAAATATTATAGATTAGTGTGTTAGCAAAACTGTTCCATATTAAGTAATTCAAGTATTCCACATTAAAAGACCAAAAATATAGAAATGAATTAGGTAATTTTTTTATAAAAATAATCACAGCAACGCTTCAAATTAAACAAGAAACTTTTTTATAAAGAATACTATCACTATTACGTGTTGATAATACTATGCTTTATTGTTTTTTTCTTACATGATATTTTTCATAAAATAAAAATGATATTTCACAATATGCACCTTTACTCGACCAATGATGACATATGGCAACTAAATTTTTGTAACTGAATGTAGAGGTAAATAAGAATTTACTCCTACGTTCATAATTTTTTTTTTGTCTTTTTATAATTTAGAGCTGATACAGTTTGGTATTCCAGGTTATATAAAATGAATGATGAATAAAATGAATTGGGTATTCCAGGTTAAATGAGTTGTATTACTTTTTAACAAAACTATCTAGGTATGAAAATAATTTCTACTTTTTTAACAAATCTTACTATCTAGCTATAAAAATAATTTTTACTTTGTAGACAGGTAAAAAAAGTATATTGACTTATTTTCATATGAGAAATAAATTTTGCACCAAGAACGCAAATAAGCCAAATAACCAACAACAACAAAAAAAGTTTTTATAAAAAACAATAAAACTTTATTATGATTTAAATAAAACCTTATATAGACTTTTCTTGCTTAAAATACTACAATTGTCTTTATTGTCTTTATAAACTTTAGCTTCTTGTAAACCTTTGCGTAGGCATGTATAAAGTTCTAGCAAACAGCTGCAATAAATTTAGAAATTTTTTTTTCTTCAACGTATTTTTTATTGTTTTTTTTTTACTTATACGTTTTACTAATTTGCAATTAATTTGCACTTATTTATAAAAAGGTTTATTGTCTAACTAGAAGAATTTTCAAAACATACGCCTACAAACCTTAGGAGTTTTTTTTAACATATAATTTTAAATTCTTATCTTTGAAAAAATAAATAGCAAAAAATTATATTTTTCTATTACATTTAAAGGGCAACATGCAGTTATTAAAGTTTTCTTATTCTCCATTTGTTACTTTGACTTAAATAAAAAAGATCGAGAAATGAATTGAATCTCTATTAAAAGATATATATATATAAAAAAAAACAATTTTTAACTAAGTAAAACATAATATTGATAAAATTGGTTTAACAACAAAACTGCTGTTAAAATGTTTCTTTTTTTAAAACATTTAATTCAAAATAAAATTTAATAAAAACAAAAGTTTTAACCTTTAAATTAGTACGTATCCAGCATAAACATTTTATTTTCGAATTATTGTGACAAAAGAAAATTACTTTCATGATAAAAAAATTACTTCAAAAAACAGTAGTTTAGTTGTCCACTTTTTAACCACTTCTTAATTATAAGTTATTCAAAAAGTTACATTTTTTTTATAAATCAGGTGCCACACAGGAAAAGATACCAAGTCTTAGTTTCTAGATTCGGAGACACACGCGTTTTAGGAAAAGTATGTTGAAAAATTTGAAACTAACTTTATTCTTTTTTCGAGCAGTTATATCATTATTTAGTAATAGTGTTTAAAATTAATAATCAAAATATACATTAAATTCATTAATATATGAAAGTTACACAGTTTTAAAGAATGCCAAATCTTCAAAGTCATTTTTTACTGTAATTACATTTTTTAAACAGTTCCTTGAAAAAATATGTAGAATTTTCAATAATGATGCTATCAAGCCTATTTTTGTTTTATTTTATGCCTTATTCCTAACTCTATGCAACTGTATCAGTAACTCGATTTCTAAGATTTGGTACCTATTTCTGTGAGGCGCCTCATATATAATTACTTAACATACGACAACATTGTATAGGCAATTACAGGGTTATTCATTCTTATATGCGCGTCTATTCATTTTTATATGCGCCTTTATTCATTTTTATATGCGCGTCTATTCATTTTTTTATGCGCCTTTATTCATTCTTATATCCGCATTTATTCATTTTTATATGCGAATTTATTAACTCTTATATGCGCATTTATTCATTTTTATATGTGGTTTACAAAAGCAATTGTAAAAAAGCAATTTG